GGGGGCTGGATTCAATTAGAATCGAAGCTCGCACACCGGAGAACTACTCTACGACCCCTGTCTGTCGATGAGTCTGACGACGCCGTTTGTTTTTGCTCTCCCCGTGTTTCAGAGAGGTGTCCGAAAGCCAGCAGGACTTCTTCCGGATACTCGACGCCAAGGTTGAGAGCGTAAGTAGCCAAAGCGCACGAGTGCATTTTATTTCTCTCCGGGGCCCATATATATAACGCTGAACCGAGAATTGTGGTGATAAGTTTGGGACTTGTTCTTACTTTATAAAAAGAAGAATAAAGCTCTCATTGATTCTCTCCCCCTTCCCCCCTCTCTGACTTTGTAAAAAAGTAGAGCAGCCAGTTATAGAATTTTCTCACGAGTAGAGCACCCAGTGCTCTACATTTTAAGAGGCCCCGACGCCTAGGCCTCTGCATTTTTAAACACGGGAACACCCAGCGTTCCGCATCGACTCTGCAGCCATTGCTCTATTTTTCAAAAAAATAAATAAAATGGAGCACTGGATGGGTGGGAATCATTTCGCTCTCATATTAATTTTTTTTTTGGGGGGGGGGAATACAAAATATAAATGTGTGTGAGCCTAGCGAGAGCGCGAGTGACATGTTGTACTCGTGCGCAGGGCCCCGAGCTGGACCCGGAGGACGACAACGAGAAGCTGCGCGAGGAGGCGCGGCTGCGCGGGCTGCTGCGGGACTGGGAGCGCTACAGCCAGCGGCAGGTGGTGCAGCCGCCGCCGCAGCCGCGGGCCGCGAGGCACGCGCTCGACGGGCAGCCGCCCCTGTCCAGGTGAGCTGTCCAGGAGGAGGGAGGAGATGAGCTTGTAGTGAGCCAGTGTTGTGAGTTATACTGTAGCCCCCCTGAGTAGCCGGTGCACAAAACAAGGCGAGGGTCATTCGTCGAGTAGTGGAGAGTACATTATACTTTTCAACGTGGAAAGACGGAACCAAATGATTAGCTGCATAGCTAAAACAATTGCTAAATGAGGGATAACTAATTATTTAGCTATGTAGCTAAAAATGTTAGCAATGTTTAGCGACACACCTAAATTTTTAGCAGGGTACTGTAGCTACAATTTTTGCGACGTAGCTAATTTCTAAACTGCATTGCTACATAATTAGTTATCCCCTATTTATCTATTGTTTAGCTATTGCGCTCATCTTCCCGTGCATGTAGTCCCTCGACTCGACCAGAGGACAACGCATGGATTGTGTACCAAACCCTCCTACCTTATGCATTGTCATCAAACGCCATTGACTTCGGTCATTTGGTTTAATCCCCTTGATGATCGAGTCCTCGCCCTGCATCCTCTCTCGTAGGGGCATGTCCGCCGTCGCCGCCGTGGCCGAGCAGGACGGCCTCGGGCTCGGCCCGGCCGCCCGCGGCGCGCCCGGCCGGCACCCCGCCCTGCACCCGGCCCTGCACGCCTCCAGCACCGTCTCCTCGTCCTCCATGCCCTCCTCCGGGATGCACGACGCGTCCTGGCGGCGCGCCAACCTCTCCTGGGTGCCCGAGCAGCGTCCCGTCGGCATGTCGCCCGCCAAACAAGCGTTAGTACCTCTCAGCCTTCTTAGCCTTCTCAGCCGCATCGAGCCAAAGGCCGACGCACAAATCTCGGGAGTAATCCCCGGACGTGCGGAGCTTTTCTCGTCATCACTCTTTTGGGGCTAAGGCTTTTAAACCGTAAGACGCGACGCGGTACAGTTATCCCCCCCGAATAAAGGTGACAATCTTGCAGGGGGTGATAACAGAGGTGATAACTCTACCACACCTTCTGAAAAGTCTCTCTTAACGTTCTGAATGCGATACCGGGTTTGTTTGTAGACGTGTACGTAGATGTGCTCGTGGACGTGCCCTTGAACGTGCCCGTGAACGTGCCCGTAGATGTACTTGACGTGCTTGACGGACGAGACCCCTTGGTGGTGGGCGCCCGAGCCGAGGCTCACGCTGGGGGGTCGTGGAGTGCCCGGCCCTACCCCTCCCGCTCACACTGACCTTGACCTCTCTGTGCAGCTACCCCGGGAGAGCCGTGGCCTGGTCCCATACCGCGTACCAGAGCTTCGACGGCCAGGGCCAGCAGGGACTCGTCCAGGGCCTCGGATCGTCGTGGTACTCGACGGCCACCAACGCACCGCCGTCGGCGACGGCGTCGTCGCAGCAGGTGGGCTTCCGCCCGTACCGGCAGATGTCCGAGGCCGGCAGCCAGGTCGGCCAGTGGGTCGAGGCCGGCGCCGGCTACGACGACCCGATGCTCTACCCCGGCCACGGCCTCGGTGGCGACCCCTACTATCAGCAGCATTACCCCGTGCACGGCCAGGGTCTGGAGCGCGGCCACGGCAGGTACGGCCATCTGGGCCAGGGCCACGTCCAGGCCACCGCCGGCCTCGGACACTCGCCCAGGCTCCCGGACCAGCACCTGGCCAACTCGATGGTGCAGCTGGACAAGTCCGGCAACACGCGGACGGAGCTGGCGTGACGAGCGGCCTCGGGCTCGGCCTTGGTCTTGGCCTCGGCCGCCTGAGGATACTTCCGCATCTGGTGGACTCTAGAGCTGAACCAGGAGTATCTACGGTGTGGTGGTGATCTGCGTGCCGCAGCCATGGCGGTCGCTGAAGATGAACTCGTGTCAGACGTCGAAAGCAATAACTAGTGACTGTAGCGTACACGGCGAGGAGGGAGTCTACGGAATAAAGACTTTTCGGGTGCCATCCCGTCATGGCAGTCACCGGGCAGTCTCGAAAGGTGGTTGTGTTGCTTCAACGAAGAGTCTGTATTTGTACATTCGATATCCTTTGCGTAAGATGGATTGAGGGTCGGCCTCATCCAAGGACAACAAAAGAAATTTCAAATCTGACAGAAAAGCCTCGACGGCATTCTGAGCGTTGTTTCTTTCTGTTCTCCTTGGGTCTTTGGGCGACAAAAGCTGTTGATGTGTAAGGTATATAAGTCAATTTGTGAACCTTTATGTGTGAGTTCCAACTCAGAGTCACCAACCAACCTGATCTAGTAGTGATGTCCCCTGTAGCTGAACCTACGAGCCTTACCCCCAAATACGGAGGTATCCAAATCAAAATTCGAAACGTCGTGTTTCAGATGATTGTTCAAAAGAATAATAAAACGACGATCTCTCACCAGGTCGGAGGCTTGACGAGTTTCTTTTCTCACGTCTCCCACCATGAGTGTGCTATAGTGTTTGAGATCGGACAGTGAGAGCCTGCGCAAAGGCAACTGGCTGTGTTTGTATTTTCTGACATCTAGTCTTCGTCTCATGTGTGTGTTTATACCCTATTTCTAGAGTGACGTAGAATTTACAATCCCCCTTGTTGATACTACTTGAAGGCGTACCCTCGGTGCCAGCTGACCTCTGAGGACATTCTTGTAAACAGTTCCTATCTGGTTCCTAAAAGTGCCAAAAAACAGGGTGCAAATACCTGTACTCCAACTCTTCTTCGCTCTTGTAGACACCCCCCCCCCCCCTTCTTTTCTTCCTCCCCTGCTTCCGTCGTCTTCAGTCGACGGGGGCGAAAAACAAACGTTTCAAAAACAAATCTTTTAGTCTTCCAAAACAATTCCCAGCCCCTCCCCATGTTAGCGCATTTCCGAAAGTCATCCCGCGTTCGACGACATTGTTACTAACGCCAGGTTCGGATCTTCTCTTCTTGCCCCAAGTAAAGTCCCTTGCCCAACTCCCCGCGCCTGCTCCCGGAGCACATCGGGCATTATGCGCGCTCTTGTACATATTTCCTGTTTCTCTTCAAACTCTAAGTCTGATAGTTTAAAATAAACAATCTTCGATGTACCACAGAGTGCCGCGCCTGGCGGTGGAAAACTTCACGATAATCAAAACTAATAATCATTGTTTGTTTTGTTGTTTTGTCTCTTTTGTTTCTTTTTATATAGAACGAAAACCTGATGATGATGCGCTGTGAAAGAAATTCGCCGGAGATAAAATGCAAACATATTCTACGACGATAATATACTATTTGATTCAAGGAAAGAGCAAACGGTGTCCTTCCCCGCAGCGCGAAGGAGCGATCGAGTCGAGTCGGGAGCCCCTTACGGACGGAGGGTAGGCCACACTGCACCACACGGCTATGTAACAGGACGACCTATCGCGCAGGGGACCTCTAGGGTCTACTGCGTACGGGTGACTGTTCTGCCGCTAAAGCTGAACCACCAGTTGATTTATCATTTTAAAAAAACGATATGAACTATCAGTTGATTTATAAAACGATGTGAGCTATCAGTTGATTTACAAAACGATATAAAATCTTTCGAAGTTGCATGGTGACACTTTCGTCGTACGGTGGTCGACGAGAAAGTCGACAATCTGATCAATGATCACTCTGGGAATGGTCCATTATGACTATTTCTTTCTATTGTTAAGTGTATTTAATATTTAGCCACATGGAGAAAAGTGATCCATCAGTTCTAACTTATGATGGTGCACACAAATGAACTCTAACTGCTTTAAGTCAGAGTTGCAGATCATTTTTTTTTTCATTATTTTCTTCTTCTTTTTCTTTTCTTTTTGTAAAATTGATCTATGTTTTGTGATCTTGTGAAATATGCTTTTATTTTTATAATTTTAAGAGTTGTAGGATTCTCCATTGTGAATCTCGTGTATTGTAGCAATACTTTGTTGCCTCTGTAGATAGCCTTTTGAGGAAGTGTGTACAAATTACTGAATTTTTGTGTGTTCTACCTTGCTACTATAATAATTGTTTGACAATTTTCCTCTATTGATTGACTTTGGGAAGTTCCCACATTTAATTCTTTCAGTACCTCAATTTTGGATTACGACAGTAGCAGAATATTGTTTGAATATTGATCAGTGAGAGTGAATGTATTGGTTGCATGTTGAACTGTCTTTAAAATGTCATCCTTCCCTCAACATTTACTTAGTAATATATACCAAATCATAAAGTTACATTGTCTTTGACTTAAGTGTATATAATTTTTGAGTTCTTAGTAAGGGATTGATGATTGATAATACATTGATGTATTCTGTTGCTGCATTAGAGAGACATAAATTATAAACTCCTGTGTTTGTGGTGTCCAGCTGAAAGAGCTGGCTGTTCCTATCAATAGGCCACATGCGCCCTCACCTGCCTTTACACAAAAACAAATTTAATCAGCATTGAACATTTCAATAATCTGTGGTTTATTCATAGATTTACATCCAGTTTTAAGACTACAATTTCCAATTTACAAATTGGTCTTAAATGAACAAGCCTATTATATGACACTCATGCTTCCCAAATTCTGAAAATCAGAACAAGTTAAGAGCTGGGAGATAAATTATATAAACATTTAAAAAAAAATAACTAGTGATGAGAAGGTAACATAATATTGTGAGATTGAAGAGGGGGTGGGTCAAGGATAGGGATGATACAGCAGTGAAGAAAAGTTAATGTTATGATATAAATTAAGATTTACATAATGAAACTGACATAATAATTATGGGAGGATCAATCAATCAGACATGAGGTATGATTTGTGTAAAATGCTAGGTAAGAATGATTAACACACCTTACAGACCATAAAGGGAAAGAAAATACCCAATACAATTCAGTTGAGATAATGTTTTAAACATAACACAACTGATTGAAGTCATCTACACATGAACGAAAGAATAAATAAAAATGAATGAAAGTTAACGAATGAGAATGAGCAGCGGTAACCAAGGTGCACGAAATTGCAATGTAACATGAACACATTCATCATCTGAATCAAGGCATCAGCTTCAAAGGGCTATTTCAACAATAATAAAATAATTCAAAGAAGTAAAAGCAAGGACTACATACTATATAAACAATGTACAATAAGAAGATTTCTTTCACTACTTAATTGATTCAAAAAGTGTGAGGAAAAATTAAGTGATATTTAACAAAAATTAAAACAAAAATATATATGGCTGCAGTACTGTGAAATGTCTACAAATTAATGACATTCCAAACTGTATGTTAGTATAATAATTCTAGAACACAGAATAGAGAAGGAAGATCTGCAAGCATTAGGAAAGCTACAATAAAAATAGAAGAGCAGCAATCTAGTGCAGAATGGTTCTTGTTCTGGTTATAACCTATTATCACAAATAAATTCAGTTCCACATGCCAAAGCTTTTAATATGGCTGATAAAGCTGTATATGGTTGTAAACTCTTGGCACACTCTCTTTCCAGCTTCCCTCTATTCGGATGTTAGGACGGAATATCTGCAACTTGTCTAAGTCAGATATTGTGCCATACTCCCCCTGAAAAAAAAAATTTAAAAAAATCAAATGCTTCAAAGCCTTATGCACACAAATTGTGGTTGTTTACATTAAATGACACTCACCTCTTGGTTTTCAAAGCAGAGTACTCTTAGCTTAGGCATGGCTCCCATTATTAATCTTAGCACAAGTGAACGCCTAAATTGGTAGGAGAAATCCAAAGTTAGCCATTCAACATTTCCAAAGCTTCGCATCCATGAACCTCTCCCTGCTTCTCGTCCCCAGCCTCGCAATGTCAGTTTTTTTAGATCAGTACAGGAAGCTCCTAAAAGTCTTAAATGATCATCATCTTTGTCACTTCCTTTGCCTTCAGCCTGCAGGTAAGTAACCTTTGATAGTATTGGAGAACATATCTCAAACATTTCTTCACTAACCACCTCGGGTATCTGTAGTGTGAGGTTGTGAAGTTGTTCCATATTATTAAGGTGTTTGAGGGCTGTAAAACTTATGATACATTCATCTAAATTGACACAATCAGATAAATAGTGTTCAGCAACAATTTCAGGAATGTCATCAACCATAACTTTCTTCAGACAGTTCTTACTAGACTCTATTGCTGATGAGACCCAATCACTAAACATATCTGCCTTCAGAATTTCTAGGCATTTCAGTCCCAATGGATATGCAGGCCATCCCAAAGATCCCATTCCCAAAACACGAAGACAGGGCATTTGATCAATAACTCGCATAACCTGAAACAAAAACAAGAACATTTTTTGTAAAAAAAACCAAAAAAAACAAACCTCTGGTATCAGGTAACAAAAACAGTATAGTAACTAAGACAAAGACTTTTTTTTTGTTTTTTTTTAAATGGAAGACATGTCTTACCTGAACACCATGATAGTTACTCCTAAAATTCACTCTACCAATCTCAAGGCTTTCTAGATGATCTTTATAACGACTAAGGATGTCAACAAAAGACTCAGGAATCACATATGTTGTGGGAAGCTGATATATTGAGAGTCGCAACAAGCGTTGAGAGTAATGTGGAAGAATAGGGTCAATGCGATCTTCTTCTCGCCATTCTCTTCTATCCTCTTCTTCCATTTCTGCTCTGAAGCTAACTCTTAGTGTATGAAGGTACTGGAGGGAATCCATGTGGCGTAAGCTTGATATTGATGGCAAATCTAAGTCAGCAGCCTCAAGCCATTCGCACCTTGATAGCATTTGGGCAGCTGTCTCATCAACTCTGCCCACCAAAGTACGAAGATGTGCGCCATGCGTAGTAAGCAAGGACAAAGGTAGATGACACAGCATACATTCTTTCTCAAAATGGGCATATTCTAAAAACCTTCGTCTAGGACGATTACAAATAGTGAAATTCTGGAGGTTGTTAGAAACAATACGTAGCTCTTTCAGGTCAAGGTGATCATCAATAACTTTGAACTCATCTTCTGTAATCTCAACTTCAACAGACAGACGCTCAAGGTTTTCTGAGAAACGAGGTAGAACCTCTGCAAAACTAAAGCGACTCTCTCCAGCCGGTGGAACAGGTTCAGGCTCCTCAAAAAGACGCCGCACTGTGATCACAATTTCAAAAATGCGTGTTGTGCATTGTAGTAGAGGTTCATATCCGCCAAAGGAGTGAACACTTAGCCTCCGAAGAGCAGGAGCTTTCAACAAAACTTGCTTTGCCTCAGGGCCATCAAGTTGTAAATGCATACTGCGCCATGATGACTCATCCCATGCCATTGCATGCCATCGTTTGCACACATTACTAGCATCATTGGCTAGAGTGTAGGGATCCAAATATTGAAATATCATGAGCAGAATTTCATCAGGAAGTTGATGTATGGAAGGAGCACTCTGAAAAAGGCATTTCGTCTTTATTCATGATACAAAAGCAGAATTGGCTTTACGCACAAGAAATACTTAATAGCTCACCTCTCCATCATTTTCAGTGTTAGCAGTTTCTATGTTGTCTTCATGGTCAACTTCGACATCAACAACCACCTCCTCGTTCTCATTTAGGCTCTGATCCTTGTCCTCTTCCTCTTCAAACATGCGTCGTCTTTTACCAGGCCACTGTGGCCACAGTGAGGGCCCTGGCGGAGGGTCTCTGCTGCTCATTGTGGTGGAATTCCTCTTCAAATAGCTGAAAATAAGGACAAGCACCAAAACGGCTGATTTACAACACAGGTCAAACAAATTGCACAAATTTGCAAGGTGAAAACACTTTCACAAGTTGGAACTTCTGCTACGCCTAGGACTCACTATTTTCAAGAGTCAGTTAAAGTAAAAGTGAAAAATGATAAAATTTAGCAAAAAGTCAGCCATGACAGTAAAATGACCGGCTCGTTTGACTTAAAACTCGCTTAAAAGACGATATAACAGAGGATGTTATTGTGATGCTCATGGGGTTAGGACATAAAACTGCTGGTGGCAAGCAAACTGTACTTTTGAATGAGATGGCAATCTAGTTAAAACGCTGTCATAGGGCAAGAACCAACAAGTACTTTAAGTGCACTTCCACTTTAAGAATTTGTGCAAGCAGAATAGCAAATTTGGTTGTAAACATACAGAAAACCTTTCCTGACAGATGAGCCAGTAGTTTATTAAAGTTCACATTGCGATTGCGATTTGACATCGACCGACGGCCCGGTTCGGCTTCATAAGGGAATTCCAACTGGCCGTGAGCGACCCGGCGAAGACCCCCTCCATCCCCTCCCTCTCCCTCCCCCTCTCCTGACGTGGCGCAATGAGTCGTCCGGGACCCGGGACGAAGCGCTCGCTTAGCTTAGGAGCGGTGGCACGGCAGTGAGCAGCGTGCTGTGCTGGGGGGAGTACAGTCCGGTGCAGCAGCAGCGGCGCGGTGTGTGTTTGCGGCAGTGTCGACTGTAGTCAGCCCTTGTTTTTGTGCTCCGAAGCCCGTCATTGCCGCCATCTAGTGAGTGTTGGTGACGGATGGTAGCATGGACAGTGCGCGGGAGGATGTCCCTGCGCCCGGCCAGCTCGGCGAGCACGTGGGTATCGACCCCGCATTCCTCTGCCAAGTTAAAACCGAGGCGCCCGAAGACCGCGAGCTGGGCGACGACCGCGATGAGTACGGCGCAGTGTACCAAGTCGTCCGCGAGGGCGCCGACAGCGCCTTCCGCGCGCTCGCGCTGCGCCTGTTCCGGGACGAGCAGCACCACCCGTCGGTGCGGGGCGCCGTCGTCAACCACGTCGTCAACAACTGGCTGTCGACGTACGCCCAGCTGACTGGCTTCGCCGACCCGGACGCGTACCGCTGGCACGTGGGCCAGGACGGCGCACCCGGCGGCGCCGTGGAGGTGCGCGCGGCCGGGGAGGCCTTCTTCCGCACCGTTGCCGTCGTGCAGGACGGCGTGCTCGAGCTGGCCTCCCTCAGCAGCACCGACCACGACCCCATCGTCCTGCGCAGGACCGGAGCGCCGCCCGCCGAGCACTACGACGCCTGCATCACGCTGCCACCGGCCGGCTGGAAGGGAGGTCCCGCCGAGCTGAGCGGGCTGGGCTGGCCGACACGGGCGACGACGGAGGGGTTCGCCGGTGTGGTCGGACCATTCCAGGAGGAATTCCAGGCCGAAGTTAAAATGCAGGAGGGGATGGAGATGGAGGACGGAACAAGTCTAGCCGACCCTTTAGCCGACACTGCGGGGCACTGCGCTGGGAGCGAGGCGTCCCTCCAGGGACGCGAGACGTGGGAGGTGTGGATCAAAGAGGAGGTCCACGACACGTCAGAGCAGGCCGAGTTCCCCCAGGAGTGGGAGCTGGCGACGGAGGGCGGGGAGACGGCGGGCGCCCTGCACCAGCCAGCGGCGTCGCTCGAGGGAGGCTCTTATGACGGCGACTTCGACTCCCAGGACGGCCTGGTGGAGACCACCGAGACTCTCTGGATCAAGAACGAGGAGGCAGAGCTGAGCGACACGACCTCCCAGGAGCAGGAGTGGCTGTCGGAGAGGCGCGACAAGGCCAGCTCCGACTCGGGTAGCAGCCCAACCCCTGTGAGGGACAGCAGGCCGCGGCGGGTGAAGCACGTGCCCGCGCTCATGAGGAGGGGGCGCGGGACGAGGTCGGTAGAGGACCTCGAGGAGAGGGCGATGTTGGAGCGCGAGCACATGCGGCGGCTGCGCCGGGACCAGCGGCGGCGGCGCGAGCAGACCGAGACTCCGGAGGAGCGCGAGGCCCGGCTGAGGAAGGAGCGCGAGGCCAAGCGGCGCCTCCGCCAAGGGGCTGAGACTCCGGCGCAGCGCGAGGCGAGACTTGCGAGAGAGCGCGAGGCCAAACGGCGCCTCCGCCAAGGGGGTGAGACTCCCGAGCAGCGCGAGGTCAGGCTGGCGAAGGAGCGCGAGGAGCAGCGCGGGGTTGGCGAGTGGCGCGATTACAGGGAGTTGGAGACTCCGGACGAGCGCGAGGCCAGGCTCAAGAAGTGGCGTGAAGACAAGCGGCGCCAGAGACAGAGTGAGACTCCGGAGCAGCGCGAGGCCAGGCTGAGTAAAGAGCGCGAAGCCAAACGGCGTCTTCGGTACGGGGGAGAGACTCCGGAAGAGCGCGAGGCCAGAATGCGTCGAGAGCGGGAAGCGCGGTGGCCGCGAGCAGAAGGAGAGACTCCGGAACAGTACGAGGCGAGACTAAGAGGGAACCTCGAATACTTGGAAGAGTTGTTCCGGGGGGAGACGTCGGAGCAGCGCGAGGAGATGCTGAGGAAAATGCGCGAAGAGAAACGGCGACAGAGAGAGAATGAGACTCCGGAGCAGCACGAGGCCAGGCTGGAGAAGCGGCGCGAAGAACGGCGGCAGCGCATCGCGAGGGAGACCCCGGAGGAGCGCCTGGAGAGGATCAAGAAGGAGCGCGCGTGGAAGGGGGTCCCGAGGAAGCCGGTCCCCAGGGTCGAGACGCCGGAGCGGCGCGAGGAGAGGCTGGCGAGGTTCCGCGAGTACCAAAAGCGGCGCCTGCACGCCGAGACCGCGGAGCAGCGCGCGGCCAGGCTGGCGAGGATGCGCGAGTACGCGCGCGCCCGGCTGCTCCGGGAGAAGGGCGTGGGTCTGGAGCCCACGGCGGCGGCGCCAGCAGAGCACCCCTTCGCGGCAGAGGCATTCCTAGGAGGGGCGCAGCAGGAGCAGGCGCCTCTCAGCAGCGGTGAGCAGCAACCAGTCGGCATCAGCGCCCTCCCAGGGGGCGGCGAACAATAACCAACGCCAGCGAGAATGCCGGGCAGCAGCCGACAGCCCAGCGCTGCCGCACAGGTAACGTGCACACAGGGCGTAAGTCGTAAGTCCCCGGACTTTGTGTAGGACTTACGCCCTTTCCACTTTTCACCACAGTGACTTAAACGGACTTGGTCGTCTGTCGTGCCGCCGAGAGACGTTATTCAATGTCGCATTTGTTTTCAGAGTGACCCCCTGCAACCATGCTGCAACCACCCACCCCTCATGCGGCGAGGACGCGCTTGAGCACCACGGCGGCGACTTTCCGAGAGGACCACGCGGATATCAACCGAGCAGCCCCATGAGTCGTCTCTCGCACTGCTAGTGCTGCCGATACCCGCCTGTAAGTTTGGTTGTACAGTACTTCCTGCGCTCTGCTGCATGTGTAGCGTGCGCCACTCAGAGGCCGCAGCGCACGCCAAAAAAAAACCAAAAAAAAAACTAGCTATTTTTTAGCACTGGTGCAAAAAATTCGTCAGCATAGCCCCAGCTAATTTTTTTAGCTTCAGTGCCAAACTTTTAGTTGTACAGCAAACTGAGGCAATGAACTAGCTGTATCGCCAATACTATTAAGCAGTACAGCTAAATATTTTATCCAATAGCTAATTTTTTGGTAGGGGTGCCAAATTTGCCTGCAAAATCGATGAGTACGGAACCAATTTTTTTTTTTCGTGCAGGGCCGCCTCGCGCGCGCGTAGAGAGTTACTGATCATAGCAGAACCGATCATAGGCGATATGCAACCGGAAGTGTGACGCGACGAGCATACCCGCGCGCGCCACAAAAATGTTGCCTGATTTGCTTTTCATTTTTGTGTTTAGCCATGCCAACTCCACGCCGCCAACGGAACATGAACGGCGACCTTCTGTCAGAGTAATACTGCCCCGCGCCGTGCCAAGTCCGGGACAGCGACGCCGAGTCCGAGCCCGTCGATCCCGCCGAACCTCTGGCCGATGGAGGCGGGAAGGGAATGGTATGAGGCCAGATTTTTATCTCTTCCGCTTACCGATATTCCGATAGTGTTACACACTAACGCCGTTCTCTGTAATTTGTTTCCCCAGGGCTTGCAGCGAGTGTCCGTCAAGCAAATTCATAAGGCTGGAAAAAGGAACTAGTACACTTCCTGTGGCGTCCCAGCCACGCTGATACTCCGTGCGCTCCGGGGACTTCCAATATACAGAGACAAGAAGTGCCTCCAAACGCAGAATATCGAACGTGTGATGTTCTTGGATTATACGATGTGTATATTTGTGTATTTATTAATGTACATTATATAGTTTTGCATATTGTATTTCCTACTTGGTTGCACGCTCACGTCCTTTATCCCCCTGCAAGAATGTCCGAACCCTTCGGCCAGCTGCACGGCCCGGTGCACGGCGCCTGCAGCATAGGCAACCGTCCGCCTGCAAATGC